ATTCCATTTCTGCCAATAGTTCCTCCTAAATGTTACACACTGGACCTTTAAAAAAGGCTTGATTCTTTATGCAGTTAAGGTTTTCCAGGTTTTCTTCCTACTGACATTCAGCCAACATACACTAACTAATGGTCACCTGTTTTTCCTACTTTCCTCCCAGTCATTACCACTTTAGACAGTGATGTGTGTATAGTAAAGTCTGTGGGTTTGTTTCGAACAGTAAGTAGTCTCCTTGTCTTGCTTGCACACTGCTCACTCACACACACACACACACACACACACACTATAATGAACTAGCTGACCGGGTGGCCCTGCTGTCTGTCACACTGACACTGACTTCTTATTTCAAGGTGATTGCCTGGTCCAATTGGGTGCAGCTACTCGCAAACACTCAGTGACCTCAAACAACCTGCTTCCTCCAACATGGTCCAATTATAAAAGTGGCTACACAGTGATTGGCCATAATCACATGTGATAAGCCAGAGAAAAAAGTCTAAGCAAATCCAGCTCAGTATGTAAAATTTCAGACTTGTCTTGCATGATATAATACAACTTCAAACTACTCCACGAATGTTTCTAAATGTAAGATGTTGCTATGCCAATGCTCCTGTCCTGACCTTGGCAAGAATAGATTCCTTTGTACTTTGTGTATCATGAATATAATCTCTTTGCTATGCAGTTTTGAATTGTGGTAGAAATAATAATGCAAGTAAAGCGAAGAATAAGGAGAATGTGAGAAAAGGAGAAGCCCACAGACCATCTGGACAGCTCTTAATTGTTTAACTTGTGCCTCAAGCCCCTTTTAAAAAAAATTATAACAGTAATTGAATGTTTTCTGTACACTAAGATATTATGTTCATTCACTTGAAAAGAAGAACATGCACTGTGATTTTATTTTTCCTAAGATTTAGAAATAGACTGCAGATCTGTTGAAAACATTACTATTGGCCAAAATAGAAATCCTTGTTTGATTTTCATGTACTGTTCTGTCTTTATTTTTGTCTTCATCAGCCACCAAACTGGGACCTGAGGCATTCAGATTTGATGGCGGAGGTGAAGCCACAGCAACCAGGCTAAACGACAGATATTACATCTTGAGACCAGAAGTCATCGAGAGCTACATGTACATGTGGAGACTGACCCATGACCCCAAGTACAGAGAGTGGGGTTGGGAGGCTGTTGAGGTGAGATACAGCAACCAACAGTGTTAATATTTACTGGACTATCCCGAATATCAGACAATCCCACCTGTTTCTGGGGAAAGACACATTATAACCCAGCCCTTAGAGTTCAACCCATTGCATCACTATTTAATCTAATCTCAGGGAAAGTTCCAACAAGACTAGTCTGAAAATCTTCAAAATGCATTTTTCAAAAACAGCTGTTGAAAAATATAGGCTCCTGTTATAATCAGTGTCTGTCTTATATTCAGGCCACTACGGTACTCGTCACAATACTCTTATTGTCTTAGAATTTTTGGCAGCTTCCTCAAGGTACTAAAGAGCTAAATGTAACTAAGGGGGCTTTCACACCTAACCTGTTTGTTAAGGGTGGTGTAAAAGCAGCACAGGCCAACCATATGACTGTAGAACAGCAGATTTATGATTTAGCATTAATGCGGATGCAAATGCAGATGATGCAGGACGACAGTTGCCAAAACTGTTCAAGCAATGAGTTGCCTTTCAGGACCATATTGCTTCATGTTTACAGCTCATGATTCACCTTTGAAAAGTCAGTGTGAACACAAACTGGACCAAATGAAACGAAACATGCTATATATGCACTATTAAAGATGCACTATAAACAAACTTGAGAGACTAGCTAGTCTTGCAACATTAGGGCTACAATCAATCCTAAACTAACACTTAATGTAATGTTATTTATTAACCAGTATTTGCTCTGTTCAATCAGCTGTTCTGCATTTGTAGTGCAACAGCATTTCAGATTTAAAAAAACGGGGAACAAATGTATATTTGGGGTGAATGAGGTAGAAAGAATAATTTAAGTAAGAGATACAGTGCAGTGTAATTTTGTACCCTATACTTCTCTCTTAGTAGTGACTTGGACTCTTGATTTTATAAATTGTACTTACCTATTATGTCAAGGCCCTTTAACACCCTCAATTACCCTCAACCAGCTTCCTTGATATTGTGTGGCACTATACATTAGCTTGTAGATCAAGCAATCCTACTAGTAGAAGGTGAAGGTTATGTAGGGAGCACCATTATTAATGTGGCAATAGACAGGACATTAGCTGTAGTAAACTGTAGAGGGCTGGCATGATAGATTTAGCATTAATTTAGTGCGCACAGAAGTGGAGAGATCAGGCTGACGACTTTGACGGGCCTTTAATTATCGGTCACAAAGGTTGAAAGCAGCGCACAACGCTTCTCTTCATGAACATCAAGCATTAACACGTCGGGGTCTTTGTTAATTAGCACGTATAAGCCAGCCCTTTGTAGCAGGGGTAATAATGTGCTAATCCGCTTGGCTAGCTCAGCCACTCTCCATTAGCCCTTGTCAGATTTAGCATTGCTGGGCTTCAATTGTGAGCCGGCTGAAGGGCTCGACATGTTCCATCATTTACTTTTTCTTTAGGTATACATGGACACAGTGTTGTTGAGTAAAGGATTTTCTCTTTATGCACTACAGTATATCAGAGGAATAGGTAATAGTCTTTTGCTCATATGCTTTGTGATTTTCCTCTGTATAGTTTGTATAATATTTGGTCCTGTCAGTGCAGAAGTGAAAAGGCCACTCTGTGAGAGCTGATTAAATGGGTGAATAAATATACATGAATCAATTAATGAAGTATTATTCATACAATTTGTACAATCAAGCTGGCAACTGCAAGAAGCGGTGTTTACTTTGTCCGGAAAAAAATGTTTTTGAAGCTACATGTACACATTCAAACCTGCCGTCTGTCTCCCATCAGGCCCTGGAGCAGCACTGCAGAGTGGAGTCTGGCTTCTCTGGGATCCGTGATGTTTACACCATGACAGTCAGCCATGATAACATGCAGCAGAGCTTCTTCCTCTCAGAGACACTCAAGTAAGTCCTATTTCTTCACCACATCCCCCTTTGGTAAGGAGAATGTGGGAATGTCACTTTACAATCTGAATGTGTAAATCATCATAGATAGAGAAAATAATATAGGATCCAATGCTGAATGCTGAGCATTCATCTCTGCCCATTATCTGTTCTGTCCATGAAGCACACTCATGATGTGAATGAGACATGAACACTTTCTACTCCAGTGTACAGGAGTCATCTGAGGTGATTTCAATCACACTTTGAATCTGATATTCTTCATTTCACGTGTAAAAGAAACATGGACGGCGAATTGATGCTATTCAGTTAGATGCCTCAATTTTACCTCCTCTCATTTTTGGGTCATTAAGCAACACAAACCATTCAGGGTGCCATGTCGTATCACAGCTAGTAGAGGGTAAAAAGCCTTTTTTCTTGAAGACACAGGCACCAGCAATCATATTCAGGTCAGCAGTCACCAGACAACTCTTAACACAAGACTGTGCCTCACCCAGTGTTATACTGTCTCTAATGTGCATCCACTTTAAAACTGATGTGACTAATCATGACAAAAAAAATCTTAGCAATACTAGATTGAGCTTGCAAAGCATTCTTGCATGATACTTGTGGTGGAAATAATTACATGTGGTCAATGCCATGAAAATGTTCTGGTTAAAGATTAAGACTTGTGTTATTCTAAATAGTTTTTATGTCAAAGAACACAAAATCTATATATAATATAATATAGTATTCATATGTGTGTTTTTTTATTAGTGTATAATCACCTGAATATAAGAATTGTGGTGTTTTTGTTAACTTAAAATTAGACAAGTCCTCTTCCATGGAAGTTGCCATGTTGAACCAACCTTGTTTCTACAGTAGCCCAGAATGAACAAACCAAGCACTGGCTCCAGATAGGGCCTTTTGCATTTTTCGCAGCCACCGTAGTTTCTCCTATATGCTTGGAAGTCTTGTAGCTTGAAAGATTATTACATACATGCATTGTGGTGGTTATTATAAATGTGGGAGAAAATTTAATAATATGCTACATTATACGAGTTGTGTCTTTCAAGCGTGAAAGAGAAACTACGGTAGCTGCCTCTATCTAGAGCCAGTGTTTGGATTGTCCCTTCCGTATGGTGGACTCTAATGGAAGGCAACCTGCGGTGTCTGTAGATATGAATGGCTACAAAAACACAACAATTCCCAGATATTCAGGTTTTTATATACCCGTGAATAGAGCCTCCTAAATGTTACACACTGGACCTTTAAATTAGACTGCTATGACCTGTTCTGTGCCCACCTTGGCATTAAAGATTTTACATAAAAGCCACATAAAAGCGGTAACAAGATTACCCTGTTATCATCTTCCATATTCAGGGACTTCATGTCAAATGCAGACCTAGAAAAACAAATTCACGCTTTTATTTCTAGCATTGACTACTGGAAATGGTCTTTTGGCAGAGCTCCCCAAAAAGACCATAAAAAAAAATCAGCTTATTCAAAATACAGGTCATAAAAAAGTGCAACTCCAACCTTTTGTAACAGCCACAATGTGGAAAAAATCATTACATATTGGGCTCAGGCTATTTATTACAAAATGTGCCAGATTGTTACAGAATGCGGGTGTTATTACATATTAAACATTTGTTGGGGACTATTTTTAGCAGAAAAATATGCCTTGGTGTGGAATTGACTCAAAATAAACTAATACCCATTTTCCTGGTAATGAGGGAACATATCACTCTGCAACAGTGTGGCCCATTGATGTTATTTAAATATACTGGACAACAATGGAGCTCAATGGCACAGAGAAATGTCATGTTTTAGCTACACAAACAATATTTGTCATTATATTTTTTAGTTAGTAAATTTATTGTTGATTTTGTTTTGTTCTTGGGATTTATTGGCTACAAGCGTATCCCTTAATGTGAAGACAGCTGTAATGGATAAATTGGATAAATAAGCTGCCTACCTAGAGAGGTTTACTTCTTGAAGAGACTTCTGGGTGTCTTTGAAGATTTTTTTTTTTTGTCTACCAGAAAAATCCTGTTGAAAAGGATAGTATGTCAGAAACATTTTCTGTAGTACTTTACATACACATCAAAAAGACAGATCAGTTAGAGAAAGCAGGTTATACAGGGAAAACGCTCAGAGTAATTACATGCACTGCAATAGCTGGTTACTGCTAATCCACATATACATGCAGCAAGACAGTAATTAGGTCTCTCCGATGGCTAAAAAATATGGCTAGCTTATTTTAACTTAATTATCTTTCCTTTAATCCCACTGCTGCCACTGCGATACTCTCTCTGTCTTAAGTCTGTCATGTGCATGTGTAAAAAATATGATTAGAAATCTCTTTGTGTTTCGCCTGGACAAATCTAGGGACTGAAATTTGGTTTTGCTTTTACAGATACCATTTGAGAAATCATGTTACCGTAGAAAGCTGACTATAACCTGGTTACCGAATGAAATAGTGCAACATTTTGGAGACTACTGGTACACCAAGTCTCTTAATTGAGAATTAGAAGAGAGGATCAATATTACCCTTGTGTGTGTGCTGAATGTGCGGCTATAGCCAGGAGACGTTTATCCGAGCACAAGGATTAGAAACAAGAGGAAACGACTTGTCTGGCTCTGTCCGAAAAATAAGAAATAAAATTAACCCACCATTACCTCTAAAGCACAGTAATTAACATCTTGTCATCACTGCCTGCCAGCCAAAAAACAGTCCTACACATTAACAAGCTTTAAAGGTGCTGGTAGGTGGACTTTTGATTAGGGATGCACCAATTTATCAGCCGAACATCATTACTGGCCAATATTGGCGTTGTTGTCTGACGGCAAGTAAGATGGAACTCACTGTGAAGCTGTGATCAGTGAATGTTTTTCTGTTGTGTCGGTTATTTCCAACTCTGATACTGGCTAAATAATCGCCTCTGTTTCCCAGCACTGGCACAAATTGCCCACAAATACCAATGTGCTCCATGCAGCAGCACAGATGGTGAGCGGCTGCTCAGCTCTGTGTCTTACATCTTGGATGAGAGGAAAAATAGACTAGAGCTGCAACAACGCAGAGATGCTTAGCTTTATAGCTTTCTTTGTTTCCCTGGCACAAAAGTGCGAATAAATAACAAAGAAAATCTGCGTCGATATAAAACACAGAGTACAGTATGAAAGGATCAGATTTTGATCAGCTTTTACCAATCCATTAAAAAAAATGCCCGAACCAACTGGGGACACTTACTTTTCACAGAGCCAGGCTAGGTGTTCCCGCCAGTTTCCAGTCTTTATGCCAAGCTACACTAACGGATTGGTGGCTGAAGCCTCATATTATTATTATATTATCTTACAGACATGAGAGTGGTATTGATCTTCTTGTCTTACTCTCAGCAAGAAAGTGAATAAGTGCATGCAATTACACTCAATGTGTAGTAATGTCATTGTGTATAAACAGAAAACAGAAGTTGTTTTCACCAAGCCTTGATTTTGATTTAATTAAATGGATGTTTTTTTCCCTGTTTTCTCAGGTATCTGTACCTGCTCTTCTCTGATGATGACCTTCTCCCACTGGAGGACTGGGTCTTCAATACAGAAGCCCATCCGCTGCCCATCGTCCGCAAGACCTGCCTGCAGGACAAAGCAACACAGGATAAGACAGTCTCCATATAAGACTGAAAACCACCAACAATTGAGACAGTTACTGACACATGTGCACACACAGAGTCACAAATATTGCAAACACCAATTCAGTGCAGGTTCAGAGTCATTTCAGGAGCGCGTTATGGACTCTCAATTCCTTTCCAGTAAAGGATGTTGTCGTTTTACGCTGTGATTGTATATCCTTTTGCCGGGCTGACTTCCTGCTGGCACTTCTTTTTTGTGGACAATCAAGACAAACATGACTTTCATGAAAAGAGCACCTTTTTCTTTCCTTCTTTCCTCTGTGAGGAAACCAGTATAACTTGCAGACCCAAATGTATGGGGGGATGGTTGAACTATGGGCCATATTGTTAGAAAGAGAGAGAAACGTATAGTAAACCACTCGAGTTTTGCTCTTTGATTTTGTTGTTTTGTTAATCTTAAGTGACGAATGATTTCCTTATATCTTGTCATTGCATTTTTTCCTTTGTGAGTACACTCTTTGACCAAAGGTTTCTTTGCATTTCTATTCCCCTCTTTTCCAGTAATGTGTTTTTGGTGAGATTTGACAGAAAGTAAAATTTACTATAGGGATGAATTGTAATGACTATTGATTAATGTACAGAAAAACGTGAAGTGATTCTCGAATCCACCTCCAAACTAATGTTGATGTCATGTTTCTTACTGAAACAAGCTTGAATTCAATTTTTTCAAGTTAAGAGGTGTCAGGAAAATGGCAGTGTCTTATGCATCCAGGGACCATTTATCAAAAGACTGATGTTGGGTTGTGTTTCCGCTGTATGCTTGGGTTATTTTGTGAACAGGACAATGCTTTCTCAGTCCTCTCAGCCTTTCAAATCAAAATAACAAATGGAGTACTGTCCGTTCTGTGGTTGTAATACACGCATAAATGAAAAAGAAGCTAGCCAGCTCCAAATGGGTTTTCCTATTTCTGTTGTATTTTTTCTGCTTCACCCTGCCTTTACATGTGAATCCATACGGCTGCCAATACTGATGTTAAAGGCTGTAACCGAGAGCCGACTGCAGAGACGAGATTTCATTTTCACTGTTCTTTTCATCACTGCTGTCCTGCACAGTTGTGGAGCGAATGTGATGTACATACAGATGAAGTGAGTGACCCCTGTATGAGCTTGTCTTGACTTTATTTTGTGATTTTTTCTTTCTTTTCTTTTTTTAAACTTAGGTGGTTATTTTATTTTCTGGGTTCACTTTTGATTTGCTTCCCTCAGGTGTTTCAGTAAAAAAAGAAAAACTAAAACGTTCTGATTTAAAGTCTAGTTATTGCTGATATTAATTATTGTTATTACTTATTCTTACTGTTTGATTTAACTTTCATTGTTGAATATTTTTCAAATACTGATAAAAAAGACCTGTGCAACTTTGTACATTTAAAACAATCAAGGTTGTTGTGTGGTTTTTATTGGGCTTGTTTGTTTACTTATTTGCAAAGTCTAAAAAAAAGAATGTCCTACTTTCTGTGCTACTTGTTTCTCACTAAGTTTTGACTATTTAATATGTACAGCAGGTTGCCACGGTAGGTTTCAGGGAAACAACCTGCAGTGATTAACAAAAAGGAAGGAAAACTCAACTCATTTGCTGCTTACATTTGTTTCGGTATTTGCTTCCAGGAAGTTCATTACAGATATAATTGAAGGGGGATGTCTCAGGGTTGTGTAAAGTTCTAGCAATCATGACAAGAAAAATTACTAATGAGGTTTGGCCATTGCACCTCTCTCACGATGTCAGACAGACAAAGCAAGATTTAATACCACCCTCCCCGAATGACTCGGCTCTACCTGATGTAATCTGAATCCTAATTACAGTGTGATAGCTTGAAGTGATTATTTTCATTTCATGCTTTAAATAGTATCAGAAGGCATTGTTGACATGATTGACATTTGACATAGTAATTTAAAAGATGGTGCTTAAATGTCATGGATCTAGTGACATTAATCTTACCTTAAAAAAAAATGACACAAAGGTGTGAGTTTAAATATTAAATATTAATATTATCTAAACTGAGGCCTGCAGCACTCAGTTACAGTGCAGGGAATATAATCCTCTCAGCTAAGGCATGATATTAAAGAGAAGGGCAAAAGTGAAGGGCACAATTTGTACATGCGAGCCCAGGGACATAAATGGGAGGATCACTGTCCATTTGTCTGCACCTGAGACTGATGGTGAAGAACAAACACTACAGATTATCCCCCTCTTCTCTTGTTTTTTATTTATTTATTTTCCTTTGCTGCCCCGACAAGCCAAGCAGGCCGTCAGAAACAGAAATGTCGGGGCTGCTGTCTGACTTGGTAAGACCTTGTGTCAATGTGTAACAAAGGGGGGAGAGCCGTCACAATCTCTCTGCCACAGTCGTCCTCCAGCTGTCCCGACAAGGGCAGCAGTTTTATAGTGAATAACTGGAATGTCATGGAGATCTGGTTCAAATATTACTTAATTTCAAAACATTTGTGATTCCAGATATCAACGAAACAGAGCAAAGCAGAGTTATGTGTGTTTTTAAAGTACATTGTACTGCAATATATCACCTCTTCACTTGACCTGTTGGCTCCAATGGAGTGTGCCCTGTGAGAATGTGACTGTGATTTGTATTGATTACAGGCTCATGTTGATGATAGAGATACTGCAGTATAGACAATAGCCAGATATTACTTTAATAAAATATATGTAAGGGCTGCACACAGACAAAGATGTTTTCCTACATCTGGAGAACAAGAGTTGCAGGCCAGGGCATCTCTGCAGCACTACAGTACTTGATTATGATGCGGTTTTGTCACACATTTTATCTTGTTGGATATTGCATATTGCGATTTCGATAATATTTTGATTAATCGTGCTGCCCTAATATAAATTTTCTGCAACTTACATGTCTAATATTAGGAAAATAAAATGTCAGTGTGATAAGAGATATAGAACTAGCATACACTTCAACTGACATTTCAACTGCACACACTTAGCCGAAGACAGTTCAACTATCACCTATTTCCACTTCAACTGACATTTCAACTGCATTCATCAAGAACTCTACCAGATAGTTCACCTGCATGCAGATCTTACATGTAAAATGACATTTCACCTGCTTTCATATCTTTCCCATCTTTCATTTCAACTATTTTCCAGTGCTGAAGTTTCACTGCTTACACTTTAACTGACATCATCTACCATACTGTGAGAAAGTGACTATGATTTACATTAATTACAGCCTACTGTAGATTTTGCAGTTCCTTTTGTACTATATAGTTACTTTTGATAAAAAGTAGAGATCACTTAATGCTCCATTAATATGCTGTTCATTTTCTGTGACTTACAGTGTATCTGACATTAGTAAAACAATATGCCATGATAGCAGATAATATAAATACTAGCCAGCTTTGTTTACACTTCAGACATTTTTAAGTGTTTACATACAAACTGACATTTCACAATTCAGCTACTTTCAACATTTTAATGTCAATTGACATTTGAACTGCTTTCGTGTCTTACTCTTCAACTTACATTTGGACCTTTTTCAGTTTCCTTATTAAATGAAATTTCAAGTGCTTTCATCACTTTCACTAAAAACTTAAACTACTTTCACATGTCAAATTCCAACTGTTTTCCTCAACTTACGGTTCAGCTGCTTCCGGCAATCGCAGCTGAACTCCTTTCATTGCTTACACTCCAATGCTTACCTCTTTACATTGTTACAATGATTTAAAAGCACTAAGGATGGAGTCAACATGTTAAGACATTTAAATTATTTCAGATATTTTAATTGCACATTTTCAGGGCGAGCACACTTAAATGGTCCTCAGAAACGTTGCCATTTCTAGTTTACATACAATAAAATGTGATAAATGATCTCTTCTCTTGACATTATACTGTGAGAATGTGACTATGATTTAAATTACTGATAATGATTTTTCTTTTTCTTGTCTTTTTTTGGTACTACAACGTAAAGAGGCTATAGATGAACACAGAAGAAAACTAAAGGTTCTTTTAAAATGTAGATTTTCAGTGACATACACCATATCTGATATTAGGAAAAGAAAATGCCAGAGCACAAATAACAGATAATACAGACACAAGTCAGCTTTTATTCGTCTTCTCCGATGACAAAAACAGTGAAGTGACAGGTTCAGTCTCCTGATCCTCTATCCTAAACCCTCATACCAACACCTTTGAATGAAATCAAAGAGTTTCTTAGATGTATTCTGGGACAACAATGTCCTCTCCTGCAGTTCTCAAATAAACAAAACAAACACATCTCGCAATCTCACCTGAAATGTCACTATCTGACATGGAAAAGTTTTGAAGTTAGTGAATAACTTCAAAAATAATTTAGTGAGTTGGACATCTCATGCCTGCAGCAATTCTGTCACCCTTTTTAAAAGGTACTGAACATCTCATTTTGTGGAATGAGGCCCTTCAGATTAAGACTTAGTTTTAAACTCCCGTTTCCTCCACCTTCTGTTCTTTTCCTCCCTCTCAGGTCTTGTCAGCACACTTTCATGGTTTGTTAAACATAGTTATTTTCTCTTAGGCTTCTTGGTAAGAAGGAAGGAAAGGGAGACTATATGGAAGGATGTGCAGGATTGTTCATGCCTTGTTACTCTGTAAAACGGAGGGTGAAGTACCTGACTGTAATTGTGCACAGAAAAATATCTTTTAGTGCAGTTTTCATGGTCGGTTTAGATAGGAAAGAAACAGTTTTGCTGCATACTTGTTGAACTACCACTGTACCATCATTAGCTGACATTGGGAAATACAGGGAAAGGGAAATTTGATGCCACTCTCAAGCCTGTACTGTAGCAACCACCAGCAGCTAGTTAGCTCATTTTAGCACAAAGACTGGAAAAAGATAGACTGACTGTCCAATTGTAACAAAATCTACCTACCAGAGTTGCTCTGGAGTTCACAGATTACCCCTATATTTAGTTTGTTTAATCTCTGCAACTATCTGCAGTCTTGTCGTTGGTGTGAGGTTGCCAGACAACCAGAGACTTTACAGAGTAACAAAATCAGTCCCTATATACTATTGTTCACTATATACTGGCCACCATTTTATTATATCATATTTATTATATTCAGAGTAAGTAACAACCAAAAATTATAGAAATCATGAGCAATTATGGTGATTAATAGGTGTCTCAAATCTCAATGTATTGCTCACTACTGAAACTGTTTTAACTATTGACTGTTTATTATATAGGGAGAAATGACTGAGGGAGTGATATCAGACACAGCCATATAATCTGACACATAAACCCTCATTAATATTTTGTAATATTTACATTCAGACAGTCTGTTTCAAGTCTTTAAACTAAGCTAAGCTACCTGGCTACTTGTTGTAACTTCATCTTTACAGTGCTGCACAGACATGAGAGGCATAAATCTTTTGATCTAACTCTAAACAAGAGAGCAGTTTTTTATGTAAGGGCTACAATTAATGATCATTTCCATTATCAATTAATTTGTCAGTTATTTTTACTCTAAATTGATTATTCTATCCATAAAAGCGTATTAAATGTCAGAAAATAATGACCTTCAAATTTAGCATTTTGTCTGACTAATAGTTCAAGACCCAAGGACATTCAATTTACAACAACAAAAAAGCAAAGCAGCAAATGTTCACATTTCACAGCCTGGAGACAGTGAAAATGTGTTGTTTAACCTCAATAAAGGTCTTAAATGATTCAACTATCAAAACTGTTGTTGTGGATTCACTACTTGATGAATAGGCTAAATGTTGCAGCTTTATTATACAATTAATCGATATACCAGAACTACAGACAATGCAGATCATGTTATTCAAACTCAGTTAAAAATGCTGAAACCAAAAAAAAGTATGTCGTTATCTGAAACTGGAAAAGGATGCTGCAGGAAAGGTACGAGGAGCTCATTGCTGCACAATTTCCCATCTCCCACATTTGTGATTACCCTACTTGTGACTCCTGTCAGGACAGCGAGATATGAATGAATTTGTTCACACACAATGAACTGAAATTGGAATTCTTTGCATTAATCTCTATTCTAGAAATCATTCATGAATTCAATTTTGTCAATGTTTTCAGGGAAATTACAGCCTGAGGGTTGCTTTGGAACAAACTACAATAGCTCTCTTAGATGCAGACAAATTGTTTGGAGGGGCGGGGAGAGAACCTGAAAAGCAGCAAAGATGATGCAGATGCATTTGTAAGTGGAGAGATACTGTATTTAGCATGACAGACTTTCAGTCAGAGTATGGTTTCCTATAACATTCTTGACTTTGAAAAGTTTACACTCTGGAAAGTGAATAACAGTGAGAATATTTTCAGCTTTCTTGGACAGACAAGAAAGTAGTGTTAAGTACATTTGATGAGCACAGAGACAAAGAGAGATGACTGGATAGCACT